CAAAGAGATACGTCGAAATGCACAATGGGCATTCGCGTTTTGGACAAACATTAGTCATTCATTACAAATATCGGGCCGCTAGTAAATGCCCTGACATTAAAATTGGCTAAGGGAGATGTGCACGAGCTTTTATTGGCATTAAGACAAGCAGCCCACACCATTTATTCCCGGGCGCCAATCACTCTGCGGCGGCTTTCTTCTTCCCTCTCCTATCTCTCCTAGTTCGACGTCGACCTCCGGCGCTCCGGGTGCTGCCATGTCCCAGTTATACCAATGGAGACATTCGTTCACCAAGTACATACTATGCAGTGATCGATATCGACACTGTTAGCGGCCGATTTGGAGGTGGTTTTCAGAGAAATATTAATACGTCGAAATGAACACACGATGACAATGGGCGTTCGCGGTTTGGAGAAACATTAGTCATTAATTACAAATATCGTGCCGCCAGTAAACGCCCTGACGTTGAAATTGAATAAGGAGTTGCTTGAACCACTCTTACGATCGCGGAAGCACTCCCGCGGAGGGGTGATCACTCGCGCTCCTGCCAGGCGTTGCGTGGAGTCCGGGTATGGCGGCACAGGATCCCCAGAAAGCTACATATGTACAGCATGGGACACCGTGCTACTAAGCTGAAAAAAAGTTCGCTCTTCACGCTATTATGGGGGAGGGGTTTGATGGTGTACAACGATTGATGAACGAGTGGTCCAAGCGTCTAGAATGCTCTATTCCAGCCAACAACCCGACAAACCCCTAAGTGGTCGCGTTTCCAACCCCCTTCAATGCGCTAATTTAATGACCTCGACGTCGTCCCTTGAACGCACTAGCTTCTCAACTGCACTCAGCCTCGTCTCCTGAACCGACCACTGGCAATCAACGCACACGCCAAGTTGCAGCCGCTCGAGCGGTGGAGACCCAGATTTTCGCCGGGCTTTCAAGAAGCAGAGCGTCTCGTCCAAGTCATCTTGAGATGACCCCGCGCACGTATCTACTGGATACGTGAGGACGAGACTGCGCAACTCTTTCCATGGGTTCAATGCGATGTTGACGGGCCCCGACCACGCCATGAAGAGCGCCCAACACGCTGATGCGGGTAGTTCTATCTCCTCGACTCCGGGAAACAGCTTTGCGAGGAACAGAGCGAACTGGTCTCGGTGCGGCGAGACCGGTGTGGGGCGATCCGTGACGAACAGGAAGCGAACAGCGTTGAAGGGCTCGATTTTTTGGAGGCCATTCCACGCGAACAAGACGTCCCTATTGAGCTGTTTGGGCGTCTCGAGAGATACGGTTTCGAGGCTCGGGGCGGTGAGGTTGGTGAGAACTTGCGCGAGCATGTTATTCTCCACGCCAACGAACGTCAACCGCCGGAGTTTTGGGTGTTCTAGACGAGGGATCGAAGGGAGGTTGTGGGCTAAATATGATCCTTCACATTTTTTTAACCCAACTCCTCGAAGCTCGAGTTCCTCCAAGTTTTTGGAACTCCGAAGCACGTCGAAGAGGTGGCGATATGGCCAACTCCAGAACGAAGCCGAGCCGAGCTTTAAAACGGCCAGATTCGACAGCACGGTGGAGCTGGGAAAAGGGGAGGCGTGAACGAGGGTTAGACTCCGAAGAGGTGACGTGTCATCTGGTAGAGGAATGGCGTTGTTCAGCGCCGAGTTCCCTGCGGCGGTGATCTCTTTGCGCCAGACTTCAAGATTGAAGTGCTCCAGGGCTCCATATCGCAGCGCTTTCCACGAGTCCCACCACATATCCCACTGCTCAGATCCTGTAAAGTTCAATTTCATCGACAAGCTCCGTATCCTCGATGAGGCGTATTCAAGCAGCGCCAAAAGTCCCTTGATCTTGATCTCTATCTTCTTCAACACCCGAATCGAGATATCGAGTTTGTGATTTCCAGATCGTGCTAGACATAGTTTTGCGAAATTGAACGATGAGGGTTTGTCGTTTATCTGGATAGTTGACCATAGTGACGGTGCGGACAAAGCCGTCTGTCGTAGTTGTGACGATGCTTGCGTTACTGGAAGTAAATC